CATGAAGACCTACCCACAACACCACTGAATTCCATCATCATTCAAGTAACCTTAGAGCAGATCCTAATATTTAAGTGGCACTAACAGGAAATGACAATGAAATGAACAGAAGCCTGGACCTTATTCAACAGAGAAGAGCAGTGGTTACTTTGAAAGGACACTCTGCCATCCCCACTAGAAAAATAGGTTTTTCAGCTATTTCCAGAGATGATGCAGACTAGCAAGGTCTTGGCTCCGACCAGACAGGTAATAAGTGTCACTGTGGCAGTCAGTCATTTGGTCAACTGCTGTTTTAGAGGGTCTGCTGTTGAGATTGAGATGAGGGGAATTGGGCTTCATGCTTCCTGTTGGGTAATTGTATATATATATATTCCTTCTATTTTTATTCCCACTGACCTTAATTTTATTATGAGTTTTTATTATTCTTTACCGTTAGAACTTATGTACTTGAGAATGATCACACTAGTAATCGAAAAGTAGTACCTGTTCTAAAAAATCCATCTTCCTTACTGTAAAAGCTGTAACTTGCTATGTAATAATAAATTTTAAAGTGTTGTTAATATGTATATATATCTCTGTGTTTGGGTATGAGCTATTATTGGGTGTTCTATTTTAGTCAGTTTTATACACACACACACACACACATATATATGTGTGTAACTCTATCTTTTTTGTATTTTCGTTTTAATCATTGTTAAAAGGTCTACTGTACTTTATGTTTTGTGTAATTACAGCTGTAGCTTCATTGTTAAACGCTCGACTTACAGTCTGAGGGTCGCGGGTTCGAATCCGCATCCCACCAAACATGCTCGCCCTTTCAGCCGTGGGGGCGTTATAATGGGACGGTCAATCCCACTATTCGTGAGTAAAAGAGTAGACCAAGAGTTGGCGGTGGGTGGTGATGACTAGCTGCCTTCCCTCTAGTCTTACACTGCTAAATTAGGGACTGCTAGCGCAGATAGCCCTCGTGTAGCTTTTCCAAAACAAACAAATCATTGTTAAATGCCCCCCCCCCCCAGTGACACAGCAGTATGTCTGCGGACTTACAAAGCTAGAATAGAAACCGGGTTTCGATACCCGTGGTGGGCATAGCACAGATAGCCCATTGTGTAGCTTTGTGCTGATTTTCAAACAAACAAACATACAATCATTGTTAAATGGTCCATTTTATTGTGTATATTGCGAAGCTAATTTTGCATAATATCTATTGTTTCAGTAATAGCGCTTTTCTGCAATTATAAGTTAGCTAATGTACATCCCATAAAAGATGACAAGGCAAGTACTACTAACCCCACCACTTAGTATACCCTGACCTCATACTTCATAGCTAACTGAAATAAATAAATTTTGCAAAATCAAGCTTGACCAACAAAGAGGCAGAAAATTGCAGAAGAGACAATCAAACGTCGGTAAATTCCTTTGTGAGCCAATCAAAATTAAAATCATTCATGAAATGAATTCGTGACGTATTCATGAAATAATTATTGGTAAAAATCAGTTAGATTAACAACTTCTAATATATAGAAAACCAGTGCGTTTTGGTAATACAACATTCCAACAATGGCTTTTATGTCATGTTGCTTAGCAACAAAAATCTATATACTACTAAAACTCTGAGATTGTTTGTTTGTTTGCTTCACTGTAATTAAATACAGCAAAAACGGCGCGCATTATGACAATAGAAATATGAAAAGAATTTGAGAAATAAGAATAGAAACAGAATAAAACAAGTTTCGTTAAATTTGGGCCACGGGTTACCGAGTTAGCGCCGTTTTTCCGGTCGCTTTTATGAAAATTTCTAGCACGAGTAATTTTACATCACACTACCGTTCGCGCTCCTTACGAAACTTTTTCGTTCAAATCTATTTCCCTGTCAATGTTCCCAACTTCTTTGAAAAATGAAATGGTCTTTCCTTTTACTCCCGATCAACAATCAAATATCTTTTCTTGAATTTTGAATAACACGAATGGATTGAAATATTTAATTAAATTATCTCAAAATAAACCTTCATTTCGGTAAAATATTGAAATTAGTTTGATTTCTTCATAACCTCTGAATAGTGGGTGACCCAACGGGTCACGGGTGGTCTAGTATAACCTATATTGTTGTTAGTCTTTGTGCTGAAAGTGTAAAATGAAATATATAGACCGCAAATCTGGAAAAAATATTTCTTGATCTCTTAATGTAGAGTCTCCTTTGATTAAAGATTTTTATTTTTTATTAAAAACTTTGTTGATATAATGGCAAATATCTTAATTCAGAACGATTTAATTCTATAATTGAATCGATATTTTTACTTTCGCGATAAATTTTATGCACATGGCTTGAGGCTAGGTGATCCCACACTACATCTTTATTTTAGGTTATTACACCAACAGTCACTACACTGGTACGGTTTCACAGCACCCCTTCCTCACGGTCCCCTTGCATCTCCGTCAGTTAAATCGTAATGAGCAGATAGTAATGGAACTATTCTATCGCGATAAATGCATTTGAGCTTTTATGACTCCTCTTATTTCGAGAAATCAAGCGTGACGCGACGTGACACACTGGCTTTTATATAGATTAGATAATTGTCAAAATATGGGTCTTTGATAAAGGGTTTTATCGCATACATCTTTTGTTAACTTGTTAAAGAGTTAGTTATGTTACTGAAGTTTTTTCGTTGGAGTTCATTATGAAATATGAAATAGTAGTTGCACTAAGTTTAGTATGTATATCGTAAGGATTTAAGATACATAATTTTTTTAATGTATTGGGACTTCATGTGCTTAATTCATCTTTTGTTGCTATTTTGAGATGCTCTACTTTATGTTTTGTTATACACTATAAAGGTTTTTGTCCTGTATTTTATATTACTTTTTATTTCTTTTTTTTTGTAAAAGATGACTTGTTTTGTATATATATATTTTTTTTGAAGTTACATTGCTTTGGTTGAACAATTTTATATAAAATGTATTGGTGTTTAGAAAGGATTTTTGTAATTTTTTGTATGTAATCTATGCAAAAAAGAGTATAGTGATAGGTATTTGTTTGTTGACGGGTATTGTTCATGTATTAGTGTGGGTGTGCTGGCATTTTGTTAAAGGGTTTTTAATTATCCATTAATTCTTAGTTAATTAAAGGGTTTATTTTTATATTATATGTAGATTCGGTGTTATAATGTAGTTTCCTGTGGTTGAATACATATACCCCTGGTGGGCAGAGCACAGATAGCCCTTTGTGTAGCTTTATGCTTAATTCCAAACAAACAAACAACTGTTGAAGATATCTGGCATATGGGCACAGAGTGAGATAGAGAACTTGCTAGACATAATAAAAAGATTGAAAGAAAATAAACAGAGCGAAACAAAAATAAAGGAAGAAACTTACAGGGCAGAAAATTAGAAGAGCATCAATCTAAAAGAAGAGTTAAGTGAAAGAAATGTACTATTCAAAAAAATATTAAAATAAAAACTAAATCTGGTTCAAGAAAGAAAATTGGTGAAACTATTGGAGATGTACAGAGAGGTTACAACAATAATATTAAAGAAGTACGGAGAGGCTGCAATGATAAAATTGAAGATGTATAGCAAGGATTTAACGACAAAATCGACGAGGTCAAAAGCGAAGTACAAAAAGACATGAATGAAGTAAAGAAATACATTAAAGGGATAAAAAGAATATCCACGAACTAGGTGAAAAGGGTATCATAGAGAGTGAAAATAATACTAATGACAGAATAAAACGTCTGGAAAAAGGAATTATTAAATACAAAGATTAAACCAGCCACTCCTTTTTCTGCACTGATTCAAGAGTTCTAACCTAAACCATCATCTACTACAATAGTTAACAGGCCCGTGCTCACAATGTTTGAAACAGGGGTTCTGATTTGTGAAATCTAAGGCCAACACATATTGTGCGAAGCACAATCAGCATGGAAAGCCTGCTAATGCTACTGGGGTATTTGGAAGCATGCGACTATTTCAAGCCAAAAATGCTAATGCTTCATCAGAAGATTATAGACTATGTAGAAAACATTAAATACCATAAGCAACTGCGTTGTAACTATATAAGCATAATTTTTTTACATCATAAAAATATGAGGTTTGGCCAAACTCCCTCAATCCCCCCCCCCTTCCCTGCGTACGTGCGTGTATAAAATAAGATAACTTATTTAGTCTACACCTATTACTACTACTGATGTTACTGAAGGACCTTCCTGGACAACTCCAGCCATGACTCTACCAAATTCAATTCCATAATTCACCTGGCTAGCTGAACATCAGCCAATCTCGAAACCAACGGAATATGATGGCGAAATACTATAGGAACTATAACAGACTCAGTTTGAAATCATTTTCACCAGTTAGTTTAAAAGAAAGAACAACAATATAAAAGTCCGCTCCTTGTATCTATTATTCATTGCTTTATTTATTCTCTGTTGTTGTTGTTAAGCGCATTGTTTCACAACTGACTATCTGTGCTCTGCCCACTGCAGGTATCAAAATCTGATTTTTCGCGTTATAAGCCATCAGTCTTAACTCTGAGTCACTGGGAATGCCTTATTCTCTGCAGGCTGAGAGGGGGTTTGTGGTGGCGAGTAAAATTGAGTATGCTGATATATTTTATATGATTAGAAATATTTTCTTCATCGTTATCTTCTATGCATTTAGGAAATTATAAAAGGCTTTATCTACATGCTTTTTTTACATCTTAGATTATTAGTAAAAATCTCCATTAAAGATGGAAGAATCCCTATTCCACCTTCACATTGACTTGCAATTTTTAAACTTTTAAATAACGAAAAAACGACAACATAAAAACAAAAACTCTTACTTTATTTATATCATCAACTGATATACCATAGTGCTGTATAGAAAAGTGGAAACAGTTTTGTGAACTGGGAAAAAAAGTTTACCAGGACTCTATTATGATTGGCTAATGCTCTTAACTTAGCCAATCACAGATGAGTTGGAGTAAAGGTCTTGTTTTTTTCTTATCAACGTAACTGGTTGAGTTTCTTGTTCTCTATTTTGGAAAGCATGGTTACATTATTATCGTTATCGTACGGATGACGAAAGTACCAACATGGAATTTCAGAAAACGGTTAAGTATAAATTTTGTGGTGCCTAGTAATATATATCACAAATATGTATTGCTTTTTACTATAGCTTTAAAATATAGGATTAAATCGTACATAAAATAATGGAAAAAACGTTTATTTAACTACGTAGAAGTGTAAAGTTCATCGTCGCTGCTATTGTAATATACAGAACTACTATACTATAGTAGGTTAGGCTTAACAGAGCAGTAGTGTGGCGCATTTAGCCTACCGGCAAGTACTACGTCATTAATTGGAAGTTTAAAATTAGGTTTAGTGTTCATGATTTCATGACAGATTAGTTTAAAATTGTTTATATTTTAATCAGTGTTTACTGCTGATAATTATGTGACTAAGATTTCACATTCAGAATTTTAAGACTACATTAATTTAACACTTTTCATTAATTTCAGCTTATACTTTATAGGCGGTAAACTATACTGTATTAAAAATAAAACTAGACTTATTTAAGCTGTTAAATTAAAAACAGAAATTTTCAGTAGGTAAAATAATATATATATATATATATGTTTTAAGAAGAATGAAATGCAGTAAACTTTTTTTGCAAAAGTAATTTCATGGTCGCAATATTGTGATAATCATTAATTATCAAGTTTCAGTGTTATTAATTAACCGCTGATACATAGACCACTTTTGATAATGCTTCACACTCACAATAAGAGACGTATCTTAGATATTTGAAACGTAACATGTATACAAGCACAGTTATATATTAGTTTTAATAAGTATTATTAATATGTCCAAAGATGTTGTTATTAAAGAATGTTAAATAACTTGTTTGCTAATTCTCTATACATACTTGATAATATTAAAACAAATTAAGAACATTTTGAGAGAAACTTGTAATGTTGTTGCTGCTTGTTTTGCTAGGGATGTAGTGGTTTCATTTGTGGGTATTTTTAAAGTTTTGCTTCCATACACTCACTGCTGTCAAAAATTGTTTTTGACACTGATGTTATGATAGATACTTCATGTTATCATGGGTGACATATAACTTTATAAATTTATTAAAGTTTTGAATATATCATATACATTTAAATAATCATAATAGAAGATTAGGATGTGTTAAGGGATTGGACAAAAAAATGATTTAGTTGATGATAAATTTCAGTGGGTTTGTGTTGTGTAATGTAATCATTCATTGTTTTATGATATTTTTGAGGTATACAGTGTTTTTGAATGGAGGTTTGTTTGCTGCATGCTTATGCATATAAATAATGCTTGTGGGTGTATACAATGGGATTCATATACACCATAGTCTTTTTGTGCAAGTATAAATAATGCAAACACCATTTTTATATTCTGGCTTTAATTTTATCAACAAAGATTCATAATTTCTTAAGTCTATTATCATTAGTATATTATTAAACCTCAAAGTGTTTTTTAACATTGTTTTAACTTAAGATAATTCATAATTTAAAAAAGATGCTGAGTCACTAAAATGAATCTAAAGGAAGACTTTGTGGTGCCTGACTTTTAAATGTGTGTTTCAATCATAACACTTATAGCATTTGCAACTAGGATGTAACTGGTGTACTGTTTTTTCAGATTAAGATGAGAAGGTGTAATTCATAACCAGTCATATATAGCTAATTTTATTGTACCTTTCTTTGATGTGTACTGGTATCTAGGATAGTTGTGTTGGGAAATTTTCTCTTAAGCCTAAGATCATAATGGAATGTAATACTGATTACTGAATATGACTTACAGAGAAACTGTAGTGAAATTTAAAATGTTTGGAAGGTAGGTACAGCCATTCTAATTATCTTGAGGGGAAGAAAATTCTAAAAAGAAAAATATTTAATAAGTGGAAATTATTATAGATTTGTTTTTTATACAAATATAATCATGTGTAACTATTGAGTGTTAGTAGCTTTGATTCCTTGCTACTTTTTAAACTTTTATTCATACTTATTTTACAAATAAAAATGGGATATTTTAAATAGACATGTATGCAGTGTTTCAGTTCAGTTAGTTTCAGATTATTTTTGCAATTAAATTTGATTTTAATAATCTTTTCAAATTTTTAATTTTTGATAAACTGAAACTCATCTTTTTAATCAAACTTTGGCCCAGCATGGCCAGGTGGTTAAGGGGCTTGACTCGCAATTTGTGGGTCGCGGGTTCGAATCCCCGCCACACCAAACATGCTTGCCCTTTCAGCCGTGGGGGGCATTATAATGTGATGGTCAATCCCACTATTCATTAGTAAGAGAGTAGCCCAAGAGTTGCTGGTGGGTAGTGATGACTAGCTGCCTTCCCTCTAGTCTTACTCTGCTAAATTAGGGACAGCTAGTGTAGATAACCCTCATGCAGCTTTGCACGAAATTCAAAAACAAACAATTAATCAAACTTGTAATGGCATTAAAGAATAATATCCAACTAAGTACCCACTAGCTGAGTGGACAGTGAATTGTAACAAATAACAGTAATTAATAATTAAGGTCTGATAGGTTGTCATTACACTTGCAGAGACTTTGAGTTATTGTCTCATTATAAAAGGTGTTGTCTTAGAAAATTCTGTGTTGTTCAGGTGAGCTCATCAACTTCTAGTATGGTTTTTTGTTAAATTTTAACACAAAATACTGACAATTTTTGATTCAACAATTAACTGTAAGTTGTTAACTGTTTCAGGACTTCCAGTTTCTAGATTTAAATGATATACCTGAAAAAGAAGCCAATGAAATATGTGAGATACTAAACTGTACTGGTGATAATTCTTATGTAGAGGTAAGAAACTTTTTCTCTGAAAATGTTATCATACATTTCTAATATCACTGTGGAAGTTAGTTGTGTGTAAGTTGTAACCTTTTAAACCATCAAATTCTAGTTTTATTAAAAAAGAAAAAATTGTTTAGCAGAATTCATGGAAATGTAAATGCTTAATTCCTGTTGTTTTTGCTTCAACATATTTTGTTCTTAATTTACTTCTATAGAATTATATAACAAACTTAACAGGTAACTTCTACTAAAATAATTAGTAGTTTAAAGTTGGAATAAAAATTCAGAGAAAGGATGTGTAAAACAAACTAAAACATTCCTCGCTAGCATTTCCTCACTAGGAATGCTAGACATGAACATCTTTTAGGATGGTATGTAATATTGGAAGCATATGTTTACTGGTAATAGGAATTATAACACAACACAATAGAATAGGAAATAATCATAAGCATGAATTTCTTTACATGAAAGAAGCTCTGTTGGCATCAGTGTGCAACAGATGTCAATTAAAATTTGTATACACTTCGTAATCAAGCTAGAAAATGGAAGTATATTAAAATTTATGATCATTGTTATTGTGATATAATATCTTTTACCCTTTTTTTAATTGAAATATATTCTCACTTCTTCATTGCAAGATTACTCAGAAATAAAAACTGTTTGTGTCATGTAACAGGTGTTTTTTTATATTTTTTTAGCATCTATATTCATATTTGTTATAAGGGTTTTCATGCAATGAATATTCAATATCACAACTGTAAGCAGTTTGGAAAGCTAACTACATAGGACTCTAATTAAGTATCACTGGCAATTATTGATTATAATTCTGTTGTAAATGGGACCATCAAAAATATTATGAAATTAAAGTTGAAAATTTGCATATTGTAATCATGATTGAAAAACATGGTTGTTGAAAAATTTCGGTTAATGAAACTGTATAAATTCAAGTTTGATTCTAGTTTTAATTTATCAAATTCAATTCTTATGAGTAATTTTGATTTTTTACTAATTTCTTAGAAACAGTTTGCTTTGTTTTTTCTACCATTATTTCATCAGGACAAGTAAATGACAATTATTCTTATATTTTTTATTGTAAATATTAATGTTTTTGAGAGTATACAGGTTTCAATTAAAAACTTCTGAATATAAAACAAGAAAAAGATGAAAGTAAGCTTAACACTAAAGTATACTTTGTTTTAACTGTTTTGTGATGGGCTCATGCAATTTGCGGAAATCGAGTTGCGAATTTCACTTGTACAACCATGCATCCAGTAACTCTGAGATTTTTCAATATATCCTCTCAAAAACTGGTAAGATATTGTTAAAGATTGTTAGTATCTTGTATACAGATAATGATTGTTTTTTAATTATTTTTACAAAAATCTGTAGTTACATTCAAACTATCAACCAATCATGTGCAAAGTGATTTTCATTTTAAGTATAAAAAATACTTTTCATCATCTTATAGTTTTCATATTTCATTTGCATAACCTCTAGAACCTCCTAAAAGGATATCAAAAGTTTTTAAGGTAAATGTTTATATTTTATTTTTCATTTTCTCTACCATATCACTAACTTTAGCTTTTATTGTCTATGTACAGTACAACAAAATAATTAACATTAGGAAATGGAAAGAAAAAACATACCTTTTAATTTTTTGTAGAATATCTTTAAAGTTTCCTTTTGTTGAATTCGTAATTTCATCTTTTTTTTTTTTCTTCCCACTTTTCACATATAGTTAACTTTTAATGCTTTATTTTCTTTCTTGTCTTTTACAACTTATTATTCATTATGACACAAGTCAACAGGATTCTCAAGGCATATTACAGTTTCTTTGAGAAACATGTGCAACCTTTTGGCAAAATTTTCATTCAGCACATAATCCTTGAGAACAGACATGAAATATGATGTATATTTAAAAAATGTTTAAACCTTTTAATTATGCATTTTAGAACATAATTAATACATAATTAACTAAAATATAAGAGCAAGACTTAAATACAATTTAAACTGTATCTCTAACTTTTACATATTCAGGTAAGAAACGACCATAAGTGCTATAGTCGATCAACCAGCCAACAGTACTACAGTCGGTTATATGTACTCTGTGATGACAACTGCGCACCCATTTCAAAATAACCATTGTCAGTTTATACTGTAAAATGAGCTCTTTCTAATTGTTATATACACATATATATGTAATGTCTACATGGAAGGGATAAAGCTCAAACAAATCTGTTGAAGGTGGGTGTGGTAGCTGTCAGGGGTTTAAAAAATTTATTATATGCTTTAACTGTATTCTTTCAGAGTACTTTGAAAGGAAGGAGTTAAAAGGTTATATAAGCATCTTAGTGGCTAGATGTACTATTACTATATTACCATTGTATTATTGAAGATACAGAGAGCTAAAGTAGAGATTTTTCATAGCTTGTTGGTCGCGTGACAATGCATCTGAAGTTTTAAGTAGTTTTTTAAAGGTTTATTTTGTAATAAAGGACTTAAAACTTGGATAAAATAAAATTTTGAATCAGAACATGCATTATAATATTAAATTCGTTCACATACATTGATACTAAAGGTGTTTAATTAAATCTTGAATATAACACAGTGACTTGTGCAGGAAAGCATTTAAAGGGGCTCCCCTTGCAAAAGGGTTAACAAGCTACAATTTGTTATGTGTGTGTGTATATAACATAATGAATGTTTATATGTATTTGAAACTATTTTTTTGCTTGTCTTAGTAATTTAATTTTTTATCAAAATATTTTTGAAGCTTCCCTGGAAGGATGAAACACCCATCAGTAATTTCCCATCAGCATCAGGTTAGTACACAATGTTTAGTGATCTAACATTTTGTTTGCTTTGCATTTTGAACAGAGCCTGAATTTTTAAATGAAAGTATGTTTATTTAGGAGGTTTCATGCTTCTAGTATCAAATCAGGGATAGAAATAATGAAATAGAATTAAAATTACATTCACTCGAGGGAGAGCTATCAGAAAAATTACATTCACTCATGTAAAAGTTGCATTTCCTCATGAATTGTTTATTTAATCAATGCAATATTTTCACTTTCATTGGTTATAACCAAAGGAATATGGATGGACCATGCATTCCCGATCAGGAAAGCCAACTAAAAAAAGATTAAATTCCTCGGGAATGTGGGAATTTAATATTTTGATTCTTCCAAATACAGTATCTTAAGCGTAATAAGAAAAGAAAATTGTTTCCTACTTAAACTGGGACTTACTATGTTGAGCTTTCTCTTGTGACAGTGGATCTTTTAATAATTTTCAAGTTGTGCTTTGATCTTGATAAGGTCTTTATCCAGTTGAAACAGTGTATTATATTTTTTACATAGGAGAGATTATATGGATGGAAGTTTAAACGTGCATCTTTTTTTTTCTCATAAAGATTTTACACGTTTCTTTGTATTTTACAGATTTTATTCAACAGTGATATGCACAAAGTAACAATTTACACTGAACCTACAAGATACATATATTAGCTTACTAAAGCTTACTTTCACATACAGGATGAATAGTTTTAATAGATATTTTATCAGCAATAATTTTTTGATAGTTTTTCATTGGTTATTAAAACAGGTAATAAAATTGTTGAAATTATCATATAATGTGTACATTTAAAATGATGTTAAGATTCACTATTATGGAACAATGAGTTTATATGAAAATGTGTTTTTGACACTATGTGTTTTCTTTAGTCCAACTTTTGCACGTGTAAGAATTTTATAGCAAAAGTTTCAACTTGCAAAGTGTAAGAAAGGGGTTCAGTTTTAAGTGACTTTCAGGGGTGTTAAAGTTTGGCAACTTTTAAATTAGCAAACTTTTCACACTTATTTTTGACAATTTATAGTTTAATATATTATTTTGGCTGATTTTTGGTTGATTTGATTATCAAGAGTTGACATATATTAGCAACATTTATATGAAAAAATATAATACTTTGTCTCCAGTACAGTTCTAGTATTCTGGCTTTAGAAAAGCCTCTCAAAAATCAATGATTTCAAAGTTGTTTATAAAAATCCCAAATGTGTGCAATGTATTAATTTTAATCAAACCAATTTTTCTTGTCTAGATAACGTGGAATGTGAAAATGATGAAGATTTGACTCTTGCATGCTATATCGGGCATGATACCACAGTTTTTCCTCAGGTTGCAAATGTCAACACCTCAGTGGCTCATCCACCTTTTTTGCCTGTTGTTACTAGTGTTTCTTATCTACCAGCAGATCAGCCTTTTTCATTCATACCTAGCACTTATCCAGTTATTCCTCAGTATTTAGGTTTACCATTATTCACACAGAATATTCCCCAGCAAGACTTAAATACTGGGCAAACATACCATTATCAAATTCCGTATCCTCAGCCCATTTTGTGTGGTAACAATTTTACAACTGTGACTTGTAGAACAAACAGTGATAAAGTTAGTGTTGGACAAGATTCAAAGCAAAATGGACAACTTTGTGAAAAACAGTACCCTCGTAGGAACAGAAAAAAGCGTCCTTTTAACTGCTATTCTTCTTTGGAAATGTGCATAAATTCTGATGCCTACCAGACAGGATCAGTGATTCTTGCAAACCAGTTAGCCAATGTGATTCCACTGAGTGACCACTCAGTCTTATCTCATAATCCAGTAGTGCCTTTTAGTGTTCCACCCCCAAATTATCCATTAACCAATGGAACCATACCTTTGCCTGGTATATTGTCAGAATACCCACTTGAAATGACAACAATGCAGTATTCTCCAATGGCTCATCCACAAACTGAATCAGCACCAATTTTCTGTGTTCCTGTGATTCCCTCACCCTATCATGGTTATATTCACCACCCTACTCCTCCTCCTACTGTCCATCAAGTAATGGATGGTAGTCAAAACTGTGATGTGTATTTACCTCACATGTCATTGTGTGTGACTGTATCAGAAGTTCATAATTACAGTTATTGTCAAACAACAGTAAGCAGTGATAGTAAAACTACAGTAGCAAGTATAGATAATTCTGTAAATAGTTGTATAACAGAACATAATATTGATGACAGTGCAGCTGTGTCACAGATAATGCAACCTAAAAAGACTGAAGTAGAAACTAATGATATCCCAGGCTCAGAGTGGGGAGCTAATAGTGAACAGTCTTTTACGCCCACCCCGGTTACATCCGAGCCAGAAGTTGAGGGGAAGACAGATTGTATGTCTTCACCTATTTCTGTGGTATTTGATGAGGTTCAGTCAGTTAGTACTCCTGAACACTTATTAGATCAGGATTCAGGAGTGTCCCTGCCTAGCAATGATGAAGTAGAAACATCAATGAACAGTGGTCTTCAACAGCATCAATCATGGGCAGACCTTTTTAAAATGATGAGTTTAGAAAATAGCACTTCTGGAAAGGAAAACCTTGTGGATGAGATGATGTCATCATCTGTTATGAGTCACAGGACCTCAGATGTTAAAGCATGTAAAATAGCAAGTATGAGCATTTGCATAGTTTTTCTGTCTTGTTTACTTCAATTATACACACACACACACACACACACACACACACACACACACACACACACACACACACACACACACACACACAGACGACAC